TGGGGCCCACTGGTATAGATGATCAGCCACAAAGCTTTGCAGGCTGAGGAACTCTGGGAGTTGAAGTCCACAAGTCTTAAAGTTGCCAAGGTTGGAGACCACTGGTATAGATGATCAGCCACAAAGCTTTGCAGGCTGAGGAACTCTGGGAGTTGAAGTCCACAAGTCTTAAAGTTGCCAAGGTTGGAGACCACTGGTATAGATGATCAGCCACAAAGCTTTGCAGGCTGAGGAACTCTGGGAGTTGAAGTCCACAAGTCTTAAAGTTGCCAAGGTTGGAGACCACTGGTATAGATGATCAGCCACAAAGCTTTGCAGGCTGAGGAACTCTGGGAGTTGAAGTCCACAAGTCTTAAAGTTGCCAAGGTTGGAGACCACTGGTATAGATGATCAGCCACAAAGCTTTGCAGGCTGAGGAACTCTGGGAGTTGAAGTCCACAAGTCTTAAAGTTGCCAAGGTTGGAGACCACTGATCTAGGAGACAGAGCTTATTTGGACAATTTCATTGGACCAAGACATTCTTTTTCATTAATAGTTCCCTTGTGTTTTCTCATGGCACAGTGTATTTGGAACAAGAAATAGAAGCCCATATATTGAAGTGCTTTACTTATCAAGATGTTTTATTATTATTTGCTAAACAACTTTATATAAACCAGGCTGTTTTTATGGACTCAATGTATTTGTCTAGAAAAAGTCATAGAGCATGTGTGCATTTATTTGATTTATAACCCACAGTTGCACAGCAGCTCAAGGTGCCTAGAGGCTGGCTCCTATTTTCCACCACAATGGCAATCCTACAAGGTCTCCAAAGCTTGGGTAATCTCTTCTGAAAAGAGGTTCTAATAAAAACATATGTTACTCTTGGCATTAAGCATTTTGATGAAAAGTATATACTTTATGTCCAGAATTGCAAACCTATGGCACGTGTGCCACAGGTGGCACACAGAATCCTCTCTGCGGGCATGTGAGCTGTCATCCCAGCTCAATTCTGCTGCGCATGCGCTTACACCTCCGCTGGCCAGCTGGTTTTCAGGTCTCTGCAGTGCATGCATGGGGTTGGGTCGCTCATGCATGTGGGGGGGTCATGCATGCATGCGTTCGGTGGGGTGCACATGGAGGTTGTCACGCATGGACGCAAGGGGGTGGAGCGCGGGAGGGGTCACATATGCATTGCATTATGAGTGTTTGTGTGTGTGCCGCACATACTTTTGTGTGTGTACTTTCGGCACTCGGTGCGAAAAAGGTTAGCCATCACTGCTTTATGCTATGGTTAATCATTTTATTATTTTACTATGTCTAGAAATGCCTGAGGACATGGTCTATTCTAGCTCCAAATATGTCTTTCCAAGTGTAGGAAACATTACTTTCCCAACGTACAGTATTTCTACTAATGTGACCAAGTTTCTTGGGATTAATGTTAAATAAGAATAGTTGGATTTTCATTTATAGATATCATTTGCTTTCGCTGTAATGGTTGAGAAAAAGCCACCTAGAAACAAGGCATTTGTAAATTATCTAATATTGGGATGCTCTCCAGATGTGTCGGAACTGCCACTCACAACATTCCAGCCACCATGACCGAGGAATGAGAATTATAGCAATTGAATCTCCAACAATTTTAAGAATGCTTGGTTAGAAGTGTGACCTAACATGTGCATTCTCATGATGGTGCGGATCTTAAGCATTTAAGAGATTTCTACTAATTGCCCAAAGGATTGAGCTGAAACATCAGCACAACATTTAAGTCATTTAACTATTTATTTTTGAGTGATAATGCTATCGGAATGCTAATTTTCTTAATCTTCTAAATTCAATTTTATATCAAATCTATTTCAGGTGTCAAAACACATAATCGAATCAACAATATTAGCTGACAGCAAGTGATGGATGACAGCAAGTCTGAAACGATGGTAGATATTATTCGCCTTAACGTTGGAGGCTTTATGTATACCGCTAGACGTGAATCGTTATGCCGTTTTAAGGATTCGATGTTAGCAGCCATGTTCAGTGGAAGATTTCCTTTAAAAATGGATAATTCAGGTAAAAAGATTCCTAAATTATAACTAGCTAACACTTGAAAAGGGGAACAAATGCATTTCTGTGTTTACCAGAAGATTTTATTTATTTATTTGACTTATATACCGCTTCATAGGGCTTTCAGCTCTCTCTAAGCGGTTTACAAATTTTTTAGCAAATTGTGTCA